CCAGCAAAGTAGATTTTCATATTAATTAGGAAAAGGAAATCAAACCATATATTTTAAATATTTATTTGTCAGACTGGGATAACAGCCTTTATACAGCACAATTTGCATAAATTCTCAAGATACATCCTGTATACAATCACAAAACCATGACATGGGTTTATACACAAAGTGAAAACTTAGACAGATTTACAGGCATTTTTATACAATTCTCATACCACTTTTCTTTCGGTTTTTACAGCTTTTAGAACAAGTCTGTAATTTTTTTTTCTGATGAATCTGAAAGCAAAATGAAAATTAAAAGAAATTTAAACCAAAATGAATACCAACAAACCACCACCTACGCATGCAACATTCACTGTGGAAACATTACATTTCTCCAAGGAGTAATCTTTTTTTCTGTGATTTTTGTGGTTTTTTGGTGTTTTTGGATTTTTTTAAACATTGGGTATGCTGTACACGTTCTCTGTAGAATGACAGCACACACGCTAGTCAGCCATTGTTGAGCACGTCACTGAACATCTATAAGATACAACCAAATAAGGGCACATTCACATGCTTGGATGTCAGATGGAGTCAATAATTTAAACTCAGTTTGTTTTACAAAAATGTATACTTATTTACAGGGTAACAAATTAAGAAAATGATTTTTGTTCAAATCATCTATTTTGAGTTACGGATATCTATATATGTTATAACTTTTGAGCTCATCAATATATTTCCTTATTATTCTTTTCAAAATAATAAAACAGAAAATACAGAAAACATTAAAATGCTTCTTATGATTTAAAGAGAGAGTATCCGGTTTCACTTATTCCTTCTATTTTCCTTCTTAAGGCAACATGCATTCATAACGAGCAACTGATCCTACATGCCACGTGTACTGAAAATTCACAAGGCATATAGGACTAGGATTTAAATGTAAAGTAGGTGGATACTTACACTACATTTCCTCTCTGTTTCATTACTTTGATAAGTTACAGTCACACAAATGCAGTTTTTCTCTGTTATTCACATAGGTATGTACAAATCTAGATATATACTCAATGGAATCTGGGACATTCAACCCTGTAGCAATCAAAATAAAGTACTTAAAAATAGTGTCAGTTATGATTCAAATCATAATTTAAAAAAATACTATAAACATCTTAATGATATCTCCGTGAATCTAAATCCTAATTAAATAATCTCTATTGGGCACACAGTAGCTTAGAATATAATAGATGTCTTCTCTTTCTTCATCATCATCCTCAAAGTAAGAATCAATATCAGCTGGTTACCAGCTACCATATCCCACAGCCTAACCATGCGAACACCCAGCTTCCAGAAAAATAACTCAAATATTTCCTAGGTCTTGATTTAATGCCAGTTTAAGCCAACAGATTCGTTGTTATTGACTTCTGCTGGTTTGGATTGGGTTTTTGTTTTGTTCCACACAGGATCCATGTAATGTAAAAACATGAGTAATAATAAAGAAGCAGCACTCATTGCTCTTGGATACTATCCCTTTAAAGAGTAATGATAAAGAACTAGCTCAACATTCATCATAGAAACTCTCATGTCTAGTTTTAACCTGGAAAAACAAAAGTGGCTGTTTGCTGCTCATTGTATGCATATTAATAATGATAACATTAGAAATTCCTGTCATTTGTAAACACATACACTGTGCTTTTACTCATTTTTCAACTTGTTTCCACTATACAAGGCCTTGAACAAAGAAGCAGCTTCAATCTCTGTTGACTCAGCAGATTTATGAGTAAAAAAATTAAAATGCCTCTGCTATTGCCTCCCTGCAATATGTGTCTTCAAAGCAAACATAGAAATGTGCGAACTCATTAATAATCAGTCATTCAGAAATGATAAAATCTATTGCCACATCTAAGCACTTTTGGCCAGACAAAAGAAACCAAAATTAATGAGAAAAAAGTGAAAAAAATATACTGAGATATATACAAAAAAGTAAAAAAATACTAATAGTCCTTGTTTGATTATTTTTTAAAAAACTTTGTCACAAGAGAGTTTTTCCTGACTTCCTTCATAAAACAAGAAAGAAAAGAAAAAAATGCATTCAAACATGAATCTGTGTTGCATAGAGTGATTCCAGTACAACCTAGACATTTGGTCAAAAAAAGGAACTTGGCACACTTTGGAAGCATCGTCTGACCTCTGAATGATACTGACTCAGAAAAGAGAGAGCGTGTAGGCCCAGGTCTGTCACTAGCCCACCCTGGGTGACACCAAAGTAGCCCTGTCCCTGCAGCTGGCCAACGCAGTGCCTTGTTCCTGACAAATTCCACTCTTTGCGTTTCATGATGGGAGTCCGAAACTGCCATTTTGACATGCAGAAACATTTTGTGTGTTGTTCAGAGAATCAAAGATGCTTGAATTAAACCAGTTGCTGACAGCTGATTAGCCCACAAAGGTAGATGTTCCATGCAGCCGCAGCTATAACACCCAGCACAATTATTTTATAAAAATATTGGCCACATTTGTATGTGTGTGAAAGCAAAGTACGCCTGTCCGCTTTCTCAATTAAAAGTGATGATTACAGGCTTCCCAGTAAGGCGGCCAGATAGTACTCATTCCTTCTGTAAATCTCCCATAGCAACTGCTGGCATGACTTCCTGTCTTTATAATAAATCTTATCAAGAACAAAATTACCAGCAGTTTGCACAGAATTGCACACCTCATGGCTTGTACTTCACACGGTAATTGAAACAGGACTTTTTTTTCTTTTTTTTGGTCTTTTTTTCAAAGGAAGAGCACACTACAACCATCAGGAATGCAAAACAACCCACCAAAAGAGGAACACATATGTCAAACATACCCACACAGGATTTTTTGGTTTGAATGGGGATTTTTTCTTTGAAGTATTTATCTTCTTATAAAAACGTTCACAACATCAAAACATATAGGATGTTTACAATAACTCCAGAGGACTGTTTTTAAAATATATGAGAGGTAGGGTATACATATACTGATGAAAGCATAAATATCAACATCAAAGCACACATCCTACTTCCACTGTCAGTGATGTTGTATTTTTAAGTTAGCTAACAAGATTTTGGTAAGATTGCTCTGCTTGCAAGATAAACAGGCTACCAGCAGATTATCGACAACTTAACACGAGTTTCCTTGGTGTGTATATCATTAATATCTTCAGTATGTTTCTTCTCATATTCCTTTTCTGCACTGTTGTTTTAAGTTGACAAGGTTAAATCAAAAACACCATGTGGAAAGCATCACCTCATTAGACGGTGTAGCTGTTCCATGGTCAGTCCAGCTTCTGAGCAAGCTGAGCCTTATTTTTCTTTTTTTAGGCATATAGTACTTTCCAGAAGAATATTTTCAGTTGATCTTGCACAATCTGTGGAAGTGTACTAAATATATTCAGAAAATATAAGATGTGCATTAAAGACTTTGTGAAAAGTCCTTATTGGGAAAAAAAAATGAATGTCTGAAGTACAGAAGTTTGGTCATTTTCTTTTTAAATATGCAAAAGTCATGAGGTAATATTTCAAGGGAAACTACTTTTTAACAAAGCTGTGAAATATTAAATGACTTCTGAGTAACAGGGGAGTTCATACCGTATTGATTCTTGTTTTTTAAACAAACTGCTATACTTCTAGGAATGGGAGAAAGAACTCTCCCTTTAACAAAAAAGGTACAAGGGAAAATACAACAATCAGCCGAAACCAGCCCAGATGGTAGTTTCTTCCCAAAGTGAGCTAACAGCTCAGTTTCAAGCCCCTGAAAGTAGGACTTTCAGCATGAAAGTGCTGACACAGTCTTAAATGTTGCAAGTTGCCTTCCTACTTATTTCTTTCCTAACAGAAGCCACAGTGTTGAGTGAATTATACTCAGACATTCACCTGAGATAGCAAGAGGATAATCTTAATTCCCTCTAATGCAACGACATCCAGGCAGTAACTGCCCTGCTTTCCCTTCCCCTTAGATTTCAAGTGTGTTCCTGGTGTTGACAGAGAGCTCTGCACTGAGCAGGTTGGTGTTAGCATGGTGTGTCTACTGCTCTGAAGTGCCCACAAAATAGCCTAGAATTCATTGTCTCTGTACAGTTTCTGAATGAGACTGGTTGCTGAAAAATGGAAGGACTAATTGAAGTAATTGCTTTAGTCCCAGTTCTTAAGTCTCTCCAATTCCATACTTTTTAAAAACTGCTTATTCAAAGGGTAGGGTGAAGTACAGTGTTACTGACATGGAAACAGCATTTTTTCTTCCTGATGTACCGCAGTTTACATCCTGTCCTTTCTTTTGAAAGCTACATCCCAAATTATAGAGCATTAACATAGTTTTATCCATTACATTCTAGGACAGTGGTTTATATCCATTGTTAACACACACAAACAAATGAAACAATCAGATCTGATTTTCCATAGCATAGTTTCTGAAGGAAAAAGAAAGAAGGAAAATGTACTGTAAAATAACCTTACCACTCTTGCAAATGCCTTGCAGTTTGTGTCGAGTGGCATAATCTCACTACAGCAGATTATCAGAGATCCTAAGGTGCAGAGGAACAAGTTTTGCACTTCTTATGAGTGAGATTCGGAAAAGTCAGTCACCCTAGGTGCTTTTGCATAAAATGATCTCCTTCTGATTGCACAGAAAACCAGACTGCTCCTTCCATTACACTACCTCCAGCTGCAGCCGAACTCTGCGTTAACACCTGCCTTCCAGCCTTCATTGTTTCCTTCCCAGTTACTCTCTTCAAAAAGAGTCCAACAACACGGAGCCCTCCTATGAGTCTTCTTTTCAAACATCCTCACTTTAACTTCTGGGCCCAGGTTTTCTTTTACTTTGCTGTCTGTTGCAGCAAAACAAATGTACTAGCCCTCATTTAAGTGTGCTACGTAGCCCAGAGACTGCTCTTCTCTACTTTGTATTCTGAAAGACTAGCTAAACACAATGATATCAAACGATAGTCTTGGAGTGACGCTGTTTATAGCAAACTCTGCAGGTTTTGTGCCCTAAGCAGACAGCTCTGCTCAGTGTGTTTGTGTGGAGCTGACCAACAGTTTGTGCCAGTTTACTATTCTTTTCCTTAGATCCACTTTGTCAAGCCAGATATAAGCTTCACCAATCAGTGTCTTTTTCATAAACTTCCCTCCATTGGAGACAAGTAGAATCTGAGAAAATAATAATAAAACATCATTATCATTATGAACATCATTATCATTGTGCATATTAACATACTGCATTTGCTGGCAAACTTGAAGGACTCAGGAATGTTGAGCTCTGTTTTGGTATCCACAGAGGAGGAAAGAAACTCTGACCATAACCCTTTATATACAGTCATCTTTCCAATAGGTGACTTTTCCATGAAAAGTGAAACTTCCTTCTCTTCCATTTTATTATCTTGGGATGTAGCAACTAGATGACAATCTTGAACTTCAGTGTGCAATTTGTTCACCTGCTGGTTACCAAAGACAAACACAAGGTCGCGTTTTAAGTTACAGGGTAAAGCTTTATTCAGACAAACTACCAGCCCTTTCTGGGTGCATGAGAGTCAGAGGGTGCTCTGCATGTAGTGTCTAACTCCAAGCAGACTACTGTGTGAGGAAGTCCAGAGTTCTGGTTTCTGACCTCAGCAAGTGGTGGTCTAATCTAAAATACAGAGTTGATCTGAAATCTCACTTCTGTTGTTCTTCTACTGAGAGCCACAGTATTGCGTCTGGTCTTCTGGCTTTTGCTTCTCCAGCCATAGAGAGTGGGAAGGGCAAGGAATAGCCCCAGCACTTCTGTGCGCTGTGCAGCCTGGGTGGTCAAGACTCACCCAGGTATATCATACAGGCACATGTGTTCCAGCTAAGCAGGTTCATACCATGCAAGCAACAGCCTTCTCTGAAGGACATAATTCATTCTGTGGATCTATAGGTTCATTCTATGCGTTTCTGGGAGAAATAGATGTGATAATACATATATACTTCAAGGGATGAGTTATAGTTACACAGTCAGATAAATTCTAGAATTTTTTATTATTGAGTAACTGAATTAACAAGCTCAATGCTTCTTTTTTTTAAATTGACTTCCTAGGTTTTCCAAAAAGAAAAAGAACTCATGACAAATTGCAGTTTCATGATAGGATTAGCAGCAGGTTTATAATATTCACAGCCACTGAGCAGACCTCCGGCAATGAACAAGGGAGGTAACTGAGAACAGTAGGAGGCTGTCACCCTCTGCGTGAACCAGCAGGAGAGAAAACAGGGCAATTTGTTGCTCAATGTCACAGATCTAAGCTAACAGAAGAATGGCAGGACTCAAGGATTTTACACTCCTGAAAGAGGCCATGCGGCAGTAGACATGTGCAGAACTGTAGAAGAACTAGAGTTTCTAGTAATTAAGAACTTTAATATTATTGAAATTTTTTCATTCTACTCCGGGAAACAAAGTAAAAAATGCAAATATTACAGTAGAAAGGAAATTAAGAAAAAAAAAGGGGGGGGGAAGAATCATTTCCCTGGATGAACTTCCCAGTTCTCTGGCCAATATTGCTACCAATTTGCAAGTAAGATCTGTACCTGGACAACTTAGACACCTACATGCCCACTCATCAACAGATTTGAGGAGGGAAGACCAAACAGTCTTCAGTCACTCAGCTATTAGAGAATTTCACCTTACTTCACTCATCAGAAAGCACCTGCCTCTGCTGCTGGTGGCTTCTAGGTTGCTTCGTTTAGTGTTTCCTCAAGAAATGGACAGCCCAGATGCTGGCAAGCCAGACCAGAACATCTATGAAAAACATTTATCTGGGTTTTTCTGATTACCCTCACATAGGACATTATGTATTTCTAATTGCAGCAAGCCAGTCAGCCAGGAGCCAGCTAGGGAACAAGACGAAGGAGCCAGGATCTTAGTGGTTTCCAGAAGGGCCCCAGGTGGGTTGCCAGGGAACAGGGAATTCAGAGAAGTGAGCGAGAAAGCTGCCAGGGGCTGAGGCAAGTGCCTGTCTGAAACCTGTCAAAATGTTTTCTGCAGAATGTTTTCATTCTGACAAATCAACAGTTTTGGGACAGAAAAAAATTCTAACAAATTTTTCATTGCTTCTGTCCTTGATCCTTCTCTCCACTTCTCCCAGCTGGATCCCTGCTGTCTGTCTTCTCTAGCTTGTCTGTCTCTCAGCTTTGTTTCTTCCCTGCTTCAGGATTTAAATTCCAGACTTGTTATCCTGATTCAGCTAGCCTTAGTTTCTAATCCTCTGGGATTTTTTTTCTTATTCCCAATACTTTTGACCAGATAGTTCTAGCTTTTCTTTTATTCTGTCTCCTTTTTTTTCTTTGTTCTTAGTACTCCATGGTCCCTTTATTATGCCTAATATTCACAGCTCTTGCTGTTGATTTTTAGATTGCAAACCCTTATCCTATTTTCTGCCTCCAATTGGCTCTCATGTCTCTTTACAATGTACCTTCTAAGATTACCATGTTTATCTCAACTTTCTCTCTCTGCTCTTATTTCCTCTCTTAATCTCCCAATTCCATTTTTGTTCTTTACATTCTGGTTTTGTTTCCTTTCCCTTTCCCACACATTTCTTCTTCCAACATCCATCTCTTTGCCTCTAAAATATTTGCCACTCAAATTCAGCATTCAAATCAATCAGCTTTATGCTTTGCCATAGTAACAGATTGACTGATAAGTATGAAAAACTTATAAAAACAGATGTACTGAATCAGATAAAAGATCTCTCCAGGTAAATATTCTGCTTCCAAAAGTCCATAGGGAGGTGCATAAGGCAGAACAGAAGAACAGGACAATCATGTAGTGACACTTTCCCAAAATACCTACTATGGTCTGTGCACTAATGTCTTCCTGACTCATTAATCATATATTTGTGTTTAACAGACTACAAGGTATTATGCCCATGAATTTGTCCTATCGTTTTCTCCAATTACTTTTTCCATGAAGACATTTAGCATCCTCAGTACATTATGACCATAAATTTTACAGCTCAAACTCCAAGTTGTATGAAGAAACTCCTTTTGTTTGTTTTAAACTTGTTTCTTGCTACTTTTACAGTCTTTGTTGTCTTAGTTCTTGTGTGCAGCACCAGTGTGTATCACAGAGTTTCTGAGAAGTTGCCAGGCTGACCGTTCCCGTGGCTACCTCCCTCACTATCTCCCTCCTTAAGAACTTGAAGGCTTATTTTCCATAGAACTCTGTGGCTTCTTCTTTACTGGTCTACTTACCTCTTAGGATTTCCTGTTCAAAAGGCCACTGGAAGCAAAGTTTTTTACAGCAATTTTAGCTCTTAAACTTCACAAAGACTTTATTGACCACTCTGCATTTTCTCAGGTAATATAACGTCTTAAATAGTCTTTTACAGAGTCTGTTGTATAATAAGGATGTTAGGATGCCTTAACACAGGGAAAGCAGTATCTATTTTTGTTGGCCTTGTTTAATAAGCAATATCCATTTTGGCTTTGATTTTAATGATACAACTGATAACCTAACATAAACACTTGGATAATCCAGTCTAATCATCAAAATGCAGCTGGCTTTTTTATTTTGGTCTTCCAGATTTAAAGGTACATTAAGTCGATGTTGGTATGCCCAACATTTCTTCCCACTTACTTTGGAGATTAGCACACATGTAGCCCTGGAACTCTTCATCCCTTTCCACTGACTAGAGGAAACCTGAGTGTCTTGCTCGTGTTAGTTATCTACTCATGTGAAAGTAAACGAAGGTAGGTAAAGTGAATCCTACCTCTGTCAAAAAGCATATCTGACCAAATGATCAAATCTGTCTAAGCAACTAAAATACAGAAGGGGGATCATATCTGAATGAGTTCCACATGTCATTTGGTGTGCCAGAGACTGAAAATACGGTCATCTCCTTTATAAATATACACTGAGAATATTTGATTTGGCACAATTGGTGATTCTGCAATGTCTGAGATTATGACTACTGTGTCTAATTCTAGGCACCACAACTTTTAAAGAAGTTGAAGAACTGGAGAGTATCACAAAATGGTTAGGCAGTTAACTAAGAGGACATATCAAAGAAACTTGGTTTACTTAGCCTGGAAAAGTAGACAAGAGAGATATGATAATATTTCACTATGCAAATGCTTTTTACAAAAAGAAAGCAGATCAGTTTTCCTCTGTGCTTTGTAAGGATACTTAAGAATAAGTTAACTTAATTTAAAATTATGGCATATTCAAGTTAGATATTACACTAAACTTTCTAAATACATAGAGAAGTGCTTTTGGAAGGCATCCTCTCTAGAGGATTTTAAGAACAGATCAAGTCTAAAACATTCAGGCCTGGTCTATAAATACCCTTCCTTAGTGTGGGGCAATGGATTAAACTGTCTTCTAAAATCTCCTCCAGCCCAATATTTCCATTATTATGTAGTTGTGTTATTTCCTTTGTAATTTTATCTTTTCAGCAAACAACTGTGGTAGTAGATTGATCTCAAATGCCCATAACAGAGCATGGACAACATCCAAAATTAGGTTTTAATAAAATGCAGAATTACCTGAAGAGAATGCCCAGCAGGACTCAAGCTAAATCTAAATGTTTCATTGAACGAAGGCTCTCGGTCATGCCTGCACACCCTGGTTTTCTTCTTAATTACTCTCTTTTGGGTAGAGATATTGACAACGTACAGCTTCACATACAGGTCTGAAGAAGAACAGTTAACGAGTTAAATACAGAAGGTTTTAAATAATTGTTGTTGCTAATGATTTCAACAGAGGGGAAGTGTTGTGAAGAAACAGATCATAGTACTTTACAGAGCCATATTCTCTTCTCATTCACATAGTGCAGAAAGGGAACCACCCCACTAAATCCAAAGGAATTACTTTGTGTTTACAAAGCTGACATTAAAGGAACAAATACCTTGATGTCTTTAAGTATGTATGAAAATATTATTGCTAACATGATCTTTTAATTTTTAGAAAGCTTTTTCACCAAAATAAAATTTTTCACTAGAGATCATTGTTCTTTAATAATCTAGGGAGTTATAATTTTGATTAAAGCTAAAAAAGAATTCAATATTAACTATCAAATGTAAATTAAAAATAAAACGATTAAAGTCTGAGAGTTAATTTGCTTCTAAAAAGTGTTTTTACTTTCACTTTTCTCATAGGAGAAAAAAAGCACTTCAAAAAGTATCCTATAGAATGTCATTCTGATGAAGAAGAAATTTTCTTTCCCATTTTAGTGGTGATGTTAAATGACTTCAGATACATCCGACCTAATGTTTTCAAAGTATCATGAAGCTGGTTTCTGTGTGATACCTGGTAGATGATCTGGAGATTTAAATTTGTAAGTGATATTTCTGCACTGAAGGATTTCTACTATCAACTGTTCTCCATCTGTCTTCATTTCCTTCTTTAATGCAATCTTGATTTCACCCATAACCTGTGTTTTACCTGGAAAAGCAGAAAAAGCAACCCTCATTAATGTAAAAGAAAACTGAATGTACCTCTCTAACTTGGAAAGAAGCAGAATTTTCTGTGTTTTTTTTTTTTTGTCTTTTTTTTTCCCAGGACAGCTTATAGTTTTTAGTCAGGGGTTTAAAGATATTGTATTGTTTGAATGAACAAATGGTAGGTCTGTTCAGTACACTTGTGTAACTAGATCATATGATTCAGAATGCATTTTCTTCAGAGGAGTTTTGTTCCCAACATTACATATTTCATTAGAAGTCATTACAAGTCACATAATGGTCACGACAATTCACCTATTCAGAAATCTTAACTACAAGATTCTGTAGTTAACTCATTTAAAAAAAAAGAAAAGGGAAAGAAAAAAAAGGAGAACCTTCAATAGAGTGTGGAAACATAAGATTCTGAAAGGCAATGAATTAAGACTTTGGTGAAGTTCTTTCATTTTACCTTCTATGTATATGTATATGGAGCAATATCACTCATACAATTTAAAGGGAAGTTCTCACCTTGACCTTTAAAAGTATAGGGACAGAAATACAGGCCCATTACTCCTATATCGTATGGATGATTTCTCTCTAAATCAGTCCAGAGATGGAAAGAAGGCACAGAATGAAATACAGGCAAAGCTCTTTCACCTTTCCCTTGCCTGTCCTCCCACAAGGCTTCACTGAAGCCAGGCAGAGTAGAACACGGCTACATCTTCTAAATGAGTGTGGTGGTGTAAGCAGAGCCCATGCCTGAAGCTCAACGCTGTCCATAATAGCGTCATGTTGTGTTTATACATCTGTTGTCCTGCTACTCTAAAATATTAATCTGTTATTGTAAAATACAATTTCACTTTCCTTTTCTCTTTAGACATTAGTAAAACAAAAACTAAACCATTAAGTCCCTGGGAGTCTTTATTACCTAAGCTGGAGTTTTAACACATTACCAGGAAATTCTAGAACCTGGTGCCAAGATGTTGTAAGGAGCAAAGCAATTCTGCAGAAAGTAAACAATTATGATACATCTGGAGAATCTCCTCTGTTAAAAAGTAAAATGTTACCAAGTGGCATTTAGAGATTATTTACTTGTATCACAAATGTATAACCAGATTTTAATAATCCTCACTAAAAATGCCAACTGTTGTGTCACAGACGTCCATTCTACTGTTTTTCCTTCTTAAAATATTTTTGTGGATAATGAATAAAAAATTAATAACAGATAATCAAAGCCACAACCTGTCCCCTTAAGTTTCCTCACAAACTGAAGCGGGAATCTGACTTAGTCACAGTCAGTAACAAATTTGCAAATTCATCTGGGTCAGCATTTCACCCATAGTTTGTAAAGTGGGAGAGGACCTTTTAGGAGGCAAGTGATTCTTTCACCATATTTAATCATCAGAAAACCCTTCACATAGCTTTGAAGATGCAATAGTAGCATCTTGCTCTCTGCTGTATGTTTGTGCAAATGGAACCCTCATCTTGTGATGGCAGCAGCAAAGATCATCTGTTGTTGGGATCAAAGAAGGAAAGGCCAACAATCACAGAATCACAGAATCACAGAATAGTAGGGGTTGGAAGGGACGTCTTTGAAGATGCAATAGTAGCTTTGAAGATGCAATAGTAGCATCTTGCTTTCTGCTGTATGTTTGTGCAGAATGGAGCCCTCATCTTGTGATGGCATCAGAAAAGATCATCGGTTGTTGGGATCAAAGAAGGAAAGGCCAACAATGTCCCTGGTGTTATTCATGAATCTGTTCCACTCTGTGTCAACAAGCTTTAAACTATTATTGTAATGACTTTTTTCTGGCAAATGTCGAGTGTCCAGTGGGTCTAGCTTGGCTAAATGGTGGATTTTGAATGACTGGAAACAGATACTGGAAAAAAATACAATGCCTCCTCTGCTTTGTGCATAAACTACCAAAATTGCTGATGAAGACATAACATACCTGAAAGATGTTGCAGAAATCTGGCTTTTTGATCAATATTGGTTCTTGCACTGACTTCAGTGCTTGGCCACGAAAACAGCCTAGCGTGAACAGTTGTAGCACAGACCTAATGTTAGTTTCAGGCAATCTTTAGTCAACCACAGCCTTTTCTGGAAAATATGCTTGGCATATTCACTTTACTTTATCCGCTCTCTGTCCTTTAAGGTGTATTTGCAAGAGTTGTTAGGACCTCCTCTTTCTTGATTGCCTTAGTTAGCACCTTCTTTTTCACTTAGATGTGTGTTCCACATAAAATGAGATCAGCTAGGTTGAATGCTACCTCTGACACTGCGAGCTAGAAAAAGGAAGAAATGCTTCCAGTAAATTAGAATATGTTTGAAACTTCCAGCACCATTTCTCAGTATCTAGAAATTTTCCATGGACTATTCTGTATCCTTAGATACTTTTTACAACAAACAATCCTGCTTCACAATTTAAACCTCATGGGGAAAACAACAATCTCCAGCTGCGAGCACATGAAGCATGATAACTCTCTTGTGCTTCCATACTAATTCTCATTTCTCCCACAGCATGCAGTGAAAACGCCTTAACATCAGCCTTATGAAACATTGCACTAAGATAAAACACCACTTCAAAACCTAGCTGAATTTTGAAGGCTCAGAAGAGATTCCTATTACTCCCATTGTTTGGCTTTTTTCCCTCTTTCTCATATATGTTCACTACATCTTTCCTTTGCCAAGTGCATATGAGCAGCTCATACGTGCATTGGTTTGTGGAGTTGATTCTTTAAAGGGAAACATTTAGAAAAATAGACACACTGGTGATGGGAAGTGTTAATAATGAACTTTCTATGAGCTGTTGAGAGAATTCACAGTGGACTAAGCTGGACATGAATGTTCTTTGGCTGATAGGACAGAAATAAAGTTGCTCAGGGTGTTGTGTGATTGGACGACCCCAAGGATTGCATTGGTAGCAATAGCTCAAAACACAGTGCCCAGTCACAATCTTTTGCATTCTTCTATAAGTTTAGAAAATGTTAATCATAAGTGATGTGTAAATGGAACTGATTGTGGGTATTTTGGTAGTCATTGGATGACGATAAGCAAATGCTATAACACAACTGAAAAAAGTAAGTACAATGAAAGAGATGTTGCATATCTTTCTAGAAGAGTATTAATATGATTTTCTAAGACACTGGGAAATCAATTGCAATTTAAATATTGCTGTTTGCCTCAAGGAAGAGATATTGCAGGTGAAACACATGCAAACCAGGATTATTGCAGTGGCAAAGAACCATGTAGTATAGCACTATAAATGTTACTTTCTAGTGCAGTCTAGGAAGTAAGAATTGGAAAAAATTGAAATGACTTTCTACAAACATAGGATAGATACTGGTTACGTATATCTCAAATGCAGACTTACTGATGTACCGCAAGAGGACCACAGGCATGCATAGCAGCATCGTGTTCACTTTAGGAACACATTAACAGTAGCTAATCAATTCTTAAAAATATACAGCTATGATTAAAGACATTAGTGTTTATTACATTGCAATATACATCTTTTACGGGACCAGATTTATTAAAAATACATTAAAAATTAAAAGGTGATTGTTAATTAACTAAATTGCTGAAAGGTATTTGAGAAGTCAAGAGGTTTAAATTTGCTGTGGGGATGGCAACATAAGCTATTCTTCTTGTAGAACTGTCACACTCTGTACTGTGAAAGGTTAATTAGTTTTGCTATTAGTCTTCAGCGACTGCTGCTGTAAATCACAGGATGTGTCATCTGCACTATTGTTGTCAACTTGGAGGGACTGATAACCGTGGATTGTGCTCCCATTCTTTTTTGATCAGATGCCTGTTGTCAAACAAAATTACCCAAGAAGGTAGTAAATAGTTGTCTCTCATTGGTCCATGTTATCAAGGCTAATTCAGCAATGCATTTAAATGAGCAGGTAAATCTCACTGGACAATGGCAGGAATTTCATTCAGTTCAATTGTCTAAATGTAAATTTCTGAGCTAATCTACACGTTTATCTTAGAATAAGTTGAATTTCCTTTTGAGATTGACTATATCTATTCACATAGAAGGACGAAGTGTAATGAAACTAAACTTGGAAATTTAAATATGAGATGCCTGAATGTTGCTACCTGATGAACATCTACTAGAGTAACTAGCTGAATGGATGTCAGATAGCCAGAAAACAGAATCAGGAAAACACATAAACTGATATTTTTTCCGATTGCTGTGTGTAAATTCGTATAGATTCCTTCTGTTCCAGAAGAGTGCCTGGGGGTATTAAAGCAGTGGAATTTAAAATAAAACAAGAAGGGGAATAAAACCATGGACGATAATTTCCCAGAAGTTTTCTTTCCCATTGAAGTTTATAACACAATTATTGTTTCCAAAATAGGTAGGAAATGTTCTTCTGCATCTTCAAGATCCATATACTTTATGGTCAAGTGTTTAAAATCACAGAAAGCTCTGCCTGAGCAGCTCCCAGTGAACCTGACTTCCTTAGTATGGCAATGTTAATTTTGGGTTGCGGTGATGGGTTTGTTTTTTTTGTTTTTTTTTTTCTTTTAATTCCTTATGGCCCAGATCATCGTCTCTCTACTAAATCATAGAACTCGGGTGTTGGAAGAAACAAGCAAGACAAAATAAAAAAAACCCCAAGGAAACAAAAACCACCAACAACAAAAAAACAGCTTTACTTTCCTATATTTAGTGGCCACAATCTGTAGGATCAGCATGCCTTCTCCATCATGTATGTACAAGAGGAAGGAACATAGTGCCATGGTTTGTTTTAGGAGGATTTCTCCTCCTATTTTTCCTTTCAGAAAAGTGTTCAGCGAGAATTTCTGATTATGGATACTCATATTACTTCCACTTTTCTGAAAGCACCCATACCAGAGAGCAATCTCAGGGTTCTAAATGTTAATGCAGAACAACAGCTTGCTCTACTGCTGCAGACAAGTCCCCTTCAGAGCAGACTAGACACATCCATACTGCTTTGCCATTAGCCCTATGTCTTCTGACCCCCGTTTTG